TTGACCCCTTAACGATTTTTGACTATTTACCTTAACCTTTAGTATTTGTCATGAAAGTGGATTTTCCTAGATGATTGGAATTGACTACAATAACATATTTAAGCTAAAAAAATAATAGGTAATAGTATTTTATATTTATTTAATTAATAAATTTTAACTTGTGATACATAATTTATTGAAGATGTGTATATTTACTAAACAATCGTAATGGTATACATTCCATTAAATTAATGAATGCTTAGTCAGTACTTTCAGTACTATAAACTGTCATTATTTGAAGTGACTTTAAGAACATTTTACATTTGTTTTCTAAATATATTGAAATTTACATGTCTCAAAATTTTGAAAAATGTGATAGACATTAAATTATTAAAATGTGTTACAAATTGACTAGTAGTCGAAAACTATTTACTAGAGAACAAATGAAATAAATATTGTAATGTTTTATCAGTCGTTATACCAACATCTTAGGTAATAAAATCACTGTACATATATTAACTTATAATTTAAACTTGATTAAATTGACTAACAAAAAATTACATTACCTACAATAAACAAATTATGTTTCATTAGTTATAGTCACTAATTTTGAAACAATTTTTACTATTAACTTCTGATTACCAGAAATTAAGTACATAGTTTGCAATTTAAATAAGTTTGTAAAAACTTGACTAGACGTATTGATAGCATCTGCTGTTAAGTAATAACTTATAGTATACATGAATAATATAAATAAAGACATCCAAAACGTTCACAGACATTTATATTGTATTGTATTATTTACACAGTAACGCAAGATATGTTTTATATAAAGTGTATAATTTTTTCTCTAATGTTTTATATGTGATGTAGTTTTTCATAATTAGCATTATTTATAAATATTTTCATAATTTCATAAAGTTTTTTTTGTAATTAAGAATCTAAATACAATTCTGTGAACATTTTGATAAAATTGATAAACAGTATAAAAACATTAATATGCCTAGTTAAAAGATTTAAAAAATAAAATTTTAAATGTTTTGAATTTATAGGCGGCATAATTGCGGTATGTGTTACCGCCGGAGTTGTACAAATTAAAACAAAACAAAATAATATTAGAATTTATTATTGAGTACTAGATGATGAGGTACAAAACCCTCATCTGTATTTAGAAAATATTTTATTTTAGATACCTATACTTATTTAAGAAGGCATTGTCGTAATTTAGTAATATTAAGTACACTTATATAACTTACCTAATTATTGTATATTTATGTCAAATAATTTATATATTAGATTTCTGTTCTAAAGTATTTTTCAATAAGGCATTGTTCTAGAACATGCGCTGTAATTCATTTTTAGACCCGATCGTTAAAGAACTGTATAAAAAATAGTCATTTATAAATAATGTGCTTGCCTAGATCATGAAATATCTTATGCGAACATTAGATTTACATTTTAACATAAAACTATTGAACAATCGGGTCCAAAAATATTAATAAGCACTATCCAATAAGTTACATTAATAACTGCTAATAAACTTAACATTCGTAAGTTATATTACAGATACCAATTGGTAAATTAAATATGTTCTTATTGATTAATGAGGCATATTTGCAAAACATTAATATTATTTATATTCAAAGTTCAGCATTAAATTACTATGTTATAAACTTAATGACTCAAATATATTGAATAACAAGATTGTAACTTAATCATCAATATAATTAACAATTGCTTTACAAGAACAAATACAGTTTTGTTAATAATTGACATCAAGTAAATATAAGTGACAAAGTGTAGGCCTTAACAATGATTGATCAAAATGATTATGATTCAATTAGCGTTACTTCAATATATCATAAAGACTTCGTGAAGCATTGAGTTCGATGATAATTTTTGATACAAGGGGCCGTTCAAGTATTACGTAAGCACTATATGGGGGCGGGGGGGTTGTTGATTTGCTTATTTTGGGTTGGCATGGGGTGCTGGGGAGTCTGGATGATGATTACGTCATAGGTAGTATTTTTATTTTTTTGCATTAATTGCAAAATGTTTACATAAGCATGGGGGTAGGGGGTAAGAGCTTTGCTTACTTTTGCTGACAAGGGGGATGGGGGGGGTAAATAATTGTAATAAATATGCTTACATAATACTTGAACGATCCCCAAAAGACTATACCGCAATAGTGATGAAAGGTACCCATAATACAAAACTATTAGTAAGACTACCAAGTCATTTGAAAGTTTCATATAGCCAGCGCAAAATCATTTTAGATTTAATTGATATTTAGCAGAAAATTGAAACTCAATTACTCATTTACTACATTAATTTGAAAGAAGATAACTTGTAAGCTATACTTCGATATAAGCAATTAATTTGAAAATAATTTTAATATTGGCCCCCCCTCAAACGATTGGTTCTGTGGCATAATTGCACCAGGACCCGCATTGAGTTAGGTTCAAACTACAATATATTAAGGCATTTTCATTTCTATTTTATTTTCTATATATATATATATATACAGATACATGCCTCGGTACTAGCAAAGTACAGAAGTCGTGGCAGAAAATTACATAATTCTACTTACATTTTTGTTCAATAAAACTATCATTTTTCTGTTTACATCATACAAAAAAATTATATAAAAAAATGCATAGTGCTGACAAGTTAGTTGTATAAATGTTAGTGCCAAATCTCTAGTGCTGTGTACACTTCTCTATATGTAACTAACCAACGTAATATCCACTGATGATGACATTAAATTGAATGTCGAAACGTTTGGAAATAAAGATTATTTTATAAATCTTTGGCTTTTCTTTGTTTGATGTATCGCCCTCAAGAACTCACTCATATATATATATATATATATATATATATACTAATTTTATTACTAACTTATGCACATTGTTTTTTCTTGTATAAGCAGTAATTGTTTTAATGCAGTTAATTGACTTATTTATACTTACATGTATGGGGTTCTCAAACATGCAAATATAAAGTACTATAAAATTTGATTAGATATACTAAGACAATAACTAGTTATACATCTTTTACCAATGATTTTCAATATATTAAATATTTCTATCCTATATTTAAATCGAATATTAAGCATAGAAATGAACAACCTACCAAAGATTTTAACTAGATTTTTAAGTACTTCAGTAATTTTAGATATGTTTATGAAATTTGAATTAGAGTAGAACTTTATAAATAATTACATACTAAATAAAGATATAAAAATAAAAAATATCAATGACTCGACTAACAAATTTGTTACAATAGACTCGTAGATATACTCGCATGTATAAACACCGATATAATTATTGAGCATTTATTTTATATCAATATGTATTATGCTTGTCAGTACCACAAATTTAAATAGATAGGATGCAAATAAATAGGATGTGAGAATCAATCACCAAAGATTTTCTGAATTTAATGATATCATCTCCCGCTTACAGTTTTGATTATTTTGATGTTATATCAAGATTAAATTTGATCTAATAATTGTTTATATACTATAGTTGGTTATAAGTAAAACAAAATCATAATTTTATGGGTTAATGTTTTATGAGTCAACCATAGACCTGAGTTACTAGACGTCGCGAATTGCAAGGTAATTAAAACTGAAAAACTCTGAAGCTGGCAAATATTATATTTATTTCTATAAACCAATAGAGAAATAAATTAATCAAATATAATTGTGCAAAAAGGTGGTAAAACCATTGAATTATTTTAGCAAATAAAATGACATTCTTTAGAGTAAAGTAGTTATGACTGATCATGCCCATAAAGAGCGTAGCGCTGAACCAGAGAAGCAGCTAACAAAAGTAGTTGCCAAAGAATATCAATGACAAGCAAAAATGGATAAGCTAAATTATTAGCTGCGTGAGCAACATAGACAAGAAAACTACAAAAAGGAAGTTGAAGAGCTCAGAGTTGCAGGAAGCAATACCATATGGAAACAGAAACGACATTAAGAATTGCAGAACACCTGACAAAAAAGCTAAGAAAATGAATTGATTCCAGATCCAGATCATTTTAAGCTGGATTTCGAGTCAATTAATTTATCGGAAAGTGATGATGTATATGCAGATTCCGCTAAAAATGATCCTGAGTACAGTTCACCAAGGCATAAGCGAGTCTCAGCAGGTGTTAAGCGTAACGTAATTGATTTATAAAGGGTTATTGGATAGGTTTACTAAGATAATAATATCAACAACTCAATCGTTCTTAAACATGAGTAACCAGAAAAGAACATTATATCGCTGGCGTGATAAAACAAACAAAATAAATTCTCAAATCACGATCATGGGTTGGCCGACGTCACAGATAATCCGATTGTCCTAAATATCAATACGAATCGATCACTTATTTATGGATTCTAAACATTGTTTCGCTAAATTATTAGTTGTAGTCCTTGATTTATACTTTTGTATCAAATATAGTAATTTAGACATCATGGGCACATGCGGCATGAATTAATTGAGCATCTGCATTATATATATATATATATATATATATATATATATATATATATAAACTTTACCATTTTCACTATATATTGATTAGTCCTATAGATCTATGTGATTAACATAGAGAGATTCACAATAAAACGATTGTCGATAATTGATTAAAATTAAACTTATTTACAGTGAACTTACACGACGTCGGTAAATGGGCTTAAACTTGTTCTTATCCTTAGAAATATAATTTTTTATATAATTCATGCGACATAATATATTAAGATAATTTTCTCAAATAATTCATGCGACATAATATATTAAGATGATTTTCTCAAATAAACTATATACAAATTGAAATATGAAAATATTGTGACAAATTTGAAACTTGATAGGTAATTTTATTATTAAATAAAATAACTTTTTTCATATAGGATAATGATATATGGTAAAAAATATGTAATATTTGTGTATACTTTTACTATAAACTTCCTTCAAGTTTGCCAAATTCGCCACCAGACTAATATACCAGGCAAAATCTATCATACTCCATCCATAAATAATATCAATTAGCATACAACAATTCACCATTATATGAAACATACAAATGAACGGAAAAGCGAGATTTACACCATTTTATCCTCATTTGTCGATATAAAATATGTTAATGAGAATAATAATACTCAGCACACTTCGTAACAAATTATACATATTTTAAAACTATCTTTAAATATCATGTCTCATAATGGTAATTTCTTATTAGCTTATTGAAATGATAGCAATGTCACAATCGCACAGACACAAACTAGCCTAGTCTTTAATTCAATCAAATATTAGACACCTGGCAGCCTAGCTTCTTGAAGTGCCGGCTGAGTCGCTGCTTGATATGGCGAGAGTCCTGGAAATCCAGCAGCGCCGCTGCCAGGCAGAGCCGCGTAGGTGTACGGGCTCATGTAACCGCTGGCTGCAGCACCTGGGTTCAAATAAAATTTGAATATCACAACAAATGGCGTTAATGTTATAAATAAATTAATATTAAATCGATTTATTTTTGCTGAATTAAACTTTATCCAAATCTGCTAATACCTTATATTTGAAATTTTTAGCGTTTTTGTCTTTTGTCTACTACTACTGATAATTTACAAACCTGCTGCGGCAGCCGCGACGCTAGTGTAAGGATATGTCTCGAATCCATTAACAGCAGCTGCTTGCTGCTGAGCTGCTTGTGCCGCTACTGCATACTGTTGTGGATATTGAGCTGCTGCTGCAGCTGCAGCCTGTAAAAGATACAGTACAGTACAAAGATAAAATCTAACAATTGTGATTAGAAGTGAAAATGCATATTTTAGATCAATATGCACAAAATATGTTCTACATAATAAACATTACTAGACAAAATTTCAATAAAATGCCTCATATGAGAATTTCTCAGACACAATTTGTTAAATTGGTTTCTAATTTCTAAATTGGTTTCTAAACTAATAAGTCGGTTTTTAAATTATGTAATTTGAATACCGGTACTTTAGTAGAAAATGCCGGTTTCCAATTTATTATGTAGATTAAAAAAAAATTCACCAGATTGATGAAAATCTATAGCCGTCCTTCGTTTCACTATTATAAAATATTTACATTATATGTAATAAACAAGAAAAACAAATATCTTCTTATGTATAAAAATGGAGCTCTCGATAAAATGATCCGCTTAAACTCGAAAACGGCTAAACCGATTTGGTCAGTCTTAGTCTTGAAAAATTCATGCTAATCAGTAGGTTGTCAAAAGGTGAGATTATTTCAAATCGCGTAGAAACTTTACATTTTTAATTTGAAAATCCATAATATTTTAATTTGTAGAAGCGTAAATTAAATAAAACAATGAACGGTGGGGCTAATAATTCGAATGTCGAACGTTTTTGACAGATGATGTTCAGTTACGTTTAATAGGATGTTTTAGGTGAATATGATATAATTATGAATAAATTTGTGTAAGAAGTTATATTTGTAGTTACATTTATACCATACACAAAAACGTTATTAAACGGATCGCAAGTGTTACTAGAAACTCAAAATATCAACTTTTTTGAATTGTAATATGAAAATGCACTTTTTGGCGTTGTAGCACTCGTTTTTGCAAATAATATTTTTCTCAAATACGGTGCTCTGAAGGATCTCATTTATATAATTATATACTCATTGGTATTTATAAAACATTTTCTGGGTTATATTATTTTTTATTTATATTATTTAAATTCAGAACCTAAATTTGGTATCGATCAAAGGAACATTTTTCGAATAACATTTTCCCAGTTATAATGTCCCAGAATTTATCAAAGAATAGATGGTGATATATGAAGGTCCGCGGTTAAAAAGGTCCACAACTGATGTGTCAAAAACCAGTAAAGTTAAGCATGGTTTAATAACAATATTTGAAAGTAGAGGGAAAAAGATGTATAACCAGCTATAACCTTGATTCTGACTCTGCTATCGGGAGATAAACGGTAATCTTTGATGATCCATAATAAAAGTATTTTCTTCCGTTGGTAGTTTTTAGCATTAGTTAAAAATTTATAAATAATATAAAAATTTAAAATGTAATTATTTTGAAAAATACCTTTAAAATTAAAATAAAACATTAAACCTGTTTGCCACTGGCCGTTCCAAGTTACTCCGCCTATAGGGTAAAAAGGAATAGATAAATTTTTGAAAAATAGCAAAAAAGAACATTTCTACAACGATGAAGTAGCTGACAGTTTTACTGAACGTAGTCAGATAATTGTTCGTTTAAAATGTGTTATTTGTTGTGATATAATTGGTTTGATTTTTATAATTAATATTTGCTCAAAGTCAAATTGAAGCTTTGTGCCTCGCCCTGCTCTACATATATACTTTTTATTAAATTTACTTTATTCAACAAATGTTACTTGAAACTTTTCAAAGAGCAGGTCAAAGAAGAAATACTTAATTTATTTTCTATCTCTCCTCGCAGAAATTTGAAAATTTTGTATAAGCTCAGTAGTATTATTTACATTTACTTATACACAAAATCCAAATCCAAAAAGAATCTGAAAAACTTGAAACGTAATCAATAAGTCGAAAGACCAAAAAAGACTTGGATAGGATTATACCATGTTTTCTATAGAAAATGTATAAAAACTTCCAGATTGATTGTTTAGACAAAATATAGACGAACTAATGGGGTTTATTGTTTTTTATAATACCACATTGCATATAGCATTCAAACAACACATCCTTATACACTTAAAGTATTAATATTTTTGATTCTCTAGAAATTGTTTGGAACATACCTTCATTAGCAAAACAACGTTTGCCGGGTCAGCTAGTTATCAATAAAATTGAATAGTAATAATTTCAGGCAAAAACTGGTTTTAATCACTCGAAATTTTCTGTTGAAATTTTTTGTTCGAACTATTCGAGCAAAAATGTTTTTATAAAAACTCGAAATCGGTTAAAACCTTTTTTTTGGAAAAATACTATACAAAAACCGGTTTTTCTACAATGTCAGTTTATATATGAACCCTAATATCAGAAGTCTTAATTAAAATGTTTGTATAAACATAATCGATAGTCATTTAATAGCGTTTGCGCTCAAAGAAAATTTTTTTATTGCATTGCAGAATGTTGAAAGATATATAGAAAATTCTTAATTTTTTACATAATTTAGAGTTTAAATAAATATTTTTATGTTTTATATGTAAATATAAAATTTATTGGCATTGATAGTGTATGACGATACACTGTCAATGTCAATCAATGTTAATGAAAAAAGTAGGTTCAGAAGCTTCAAATAAAGTAAGTACGGAAGCCAAGTGCAAAAGAGGTTCAAAGAGGTATCAAGTTGTGGAAAATGAGCGTTTCGCAAAATTCAAAGTATGCAGTAAAAATTTTTTATTCAATTATTAAATTCTTTTGTAAACAGTTTTTTATATTTTCCAAACACATAAATTACATACGTAAAACTTTACATTTTATTGAGAGTTTCGTAACAACATACAAGATCTGAACACTTAAATACTTAAATTATCTATATAGCTATCAGACTAAAACGTTGTTTTTCAAATGTTTACGAAAGAGTGTGCCATTTTTAATAGAATCTCACCAAAAAATGATGTCAAATATTCTAATAATATTAATAATAATCAAATATTCTAATAATAATAATATTATTATCAAAAGAAATAAATTTGAAGCCATATCGATCAAAATTTAAGTCTTATTGTTAGTCGAGGAATCTTTGAAATTGTGAAATAGTTCAAATTGCACTGACCTGTTGATATTCGTAGAACTGCGTAGCAGAAGCGGCCGCTGCTGCCACGGCCGCCGCGTGCGATAGTTGCGTCGCTTGCAGGGGTACAATACCAGCCGCTGCGGGGCTCAGGTACGGCGATTGGTACACATAACCGGGAGGCACTCTATATAGAACACAGATTAGACTTTATTATTTGCTTATCTCAAAATCTACTACCGTGTATAATTAACACTAAACCTACCAACGCCGGTCAAAACGATCAATTTTTGTGTATAACTTTTATCGTTTTTAAACGTTAAATACCAATATCAAACTATATGACAATTTTTATTCAATCACTAACTAAAAAAACTTGTTTAAATCAAATTTCATTACTTTGGTGTAAAAAAGTAAACCGAAAAATAGAAATGTGAGAAGTAGCAATAGTGTTCCGAAAAACTATTAGAAGTTGTATTAGTTAGTACATTGTTTGGTGAAAATGTAATAGACCACATTCCTATGAAATGTAACATGAAGTCGAAAATTTGTAGTTGGTTCATTTCAACACTTTGATCCTAGTTGGATAAAAGCGTAAATTTGTGTATAGAGAGACAACGACTAAAAGCATTTTTAGGCATAATTTTTGTTTTAGTTATTATATATAATTTTTTTAACTCGACGATGCATATTCAAATCTCAACAAATTTAAGTTTTTATCAACACTCCACAAGTTCGGCTTTGTTTGGATGAAAAACTCATCAAATTTTTTTAAATGAAAGTTCCGAAACAAACAAACATATTAGCTTCAAATATGCTTAAATTGGTAACGATGTGAAAAAGCCGAATAAAGTACATATATTATTTAAGCATATACAATCTGTATAAATATTTATTTTATTCGTCTTTTTCTTAAACTACTTTTAGAAATTATATGAAAATAAATTTTAGATGAAAACTTCATGAAATTTCTTTATTTTATATAGATTAAATAA